ACTAAGTGTAAATTATATCATTATTTCTTGCTTTATTTGTACCAATTGAGTATTTAAACGAGTATAGTAGCTCGTAAAAGGAAAAAACTATTAGTACAAAATTTTGGCAAATCTATGATTTAAGCGACGGAAATAATTTATTCAGAAAATTTTATCGATGTTCCGTATTAATTATAATTTAATTCGTTTAAGAGACAGTATAAAGAAAAAGTTTATTAGCAAAATAAGAAAAATTGCCTAATTTGGCATTATTGATAGAATGGAAAATAGCTGGTTTGCGCTTATATTTATTAATTCTTCAGTCATTTTTTTCACACATAAAAAGGTAATCGTACTATAAGAGAAATAAAATCTATATCTCCCATTAAAGCGTAAAACCAACCAAATTTCTGGAAGCATTTAATCTGTAAATCAATAATTGAAATTTATTACATTGATTCTTCAATTCATTAGATAGTTTTTCGACAAAATAAGATAAAATTGCCACGATTGGCAACATACGAAAAAAACAAATATTTTTGGGTGAGCTCATACCATAGAAATGCCAGATTAGTACTTAATATTCCATCAATCAGTTTTTCTAGTCAATAAACAAAAACTAATTTTAATAAGAGAAATAGACAGTAGCAACCTTTAAGTATGAACAGGGTTGCCATGTCTCTCCCCATCAGCGGGACTCCCGCAATTTTTTAGTTTACACGCAAATATCTCTCTCCCGCAAAACTACGGCAATTGGAAATCTCCCGAAAAAATCTACCGCAATTTAATTTCTCCCGCGATTTTTTAAAAAAAGTATTTTAAACGTTTTTAATATGTAAATAATAATTTTGAGACATTAATTGATTATTTTTATATTTTTAAATTAAATTTTAAATATTTATTCGAAAAACATGTCTAGTTTGTAAATTTCTTTCTATCCTGTTTTATTTTTATCCAATAATAAATCAACATTATTTCATTAATATTAGTCAGTACAGGGGAGTATATCAACATCGATTCTCAAAATGAAACTATATTTGCGGAAATCGTATACATCTATTATGTAGTTCAACATTCACAGAGCTCTATATATATCATTACAATGTGGGTAGAATCTTTTTCTCATGATATTTAACGAATCCAATATAAGTGCAAACCTTACTTGTGGCAATAAAAATGAGCAAGGCTATCACAATGTTTTGGTACCTGAATCCTAGAGGTCAATTCTAGACGATTTGAAAGATGGGCATCCATATGCAATTCTAACAAATGTATCTAATAATGGAAATATTAAAACATTTCCCTCGATCCTTTGCAATTTCAACAAGAATAAGAACATTTCAATAAAACTGTTAAAAAAAGTCCTCAAATAGTGAAAATTCCAACGATGTAGCTAGCCACATAAGGGTAAATATAGCTGATTCAAGGTTATCAATGATTTGCATGCCAGCTTTCTGCGCTGATAATGCCTCTGTAAATTTTGGCCAAAACTAAAGTTACCGAATTTAGGCAGCACAAATGAATTATTACCAATTGGCTGTATATGCCATATATACTACATAGTTCTTGCAAGAAGGCAATGAATGTACTGTCTGTGGATGTCGAAATAATTGTGATGAAATATTTTAACGAATTTAGTTCAACTAAAAGAGTTAATGAATTAAAAGAGTTGGTGAAGTGGTCTGACTTGGAATGGTGTGAGTTGTTGCGATATATACCTATCAGGTGGTTGTCATTAATACCTGCCATCGATAGAATTTTAAAATTTTACAAACCCTTAAAAAAATACTTCTTAAATAAAGATTTTAAAGGCTGTCCTAAAATTTGAAAAAATTTTTCTAATATGAAATGGCAGAAGTATATTTGGGATTCTTTTCACATGTAGGAAATCTACTGCATGCAGTTAATATTCAGTTGCAATCAGAATATTCTTTATTAAAAATGATTCACAAAATTATGCTACAGCTCTGTTCATCTCTATATTTAAAAATTGAAAATAAATTTTATGGCGCTATTGCTAAAAATATTATATTAAAATGTTCAAATAATACTCTAATTAATACATATTTAAATAATGCAGATATTTTTATTCAGACAATTTTAGAATATTTACAATCAAAATTTGATTTTAATAACTCTATTTACAATTGTATAAATATTATGACCTTGGAACAGAAACCATCAATTAAGGTTTTTGTAATTTAATAAATATATTAAAAATACCGAAAGACATTGATGTCTTATTTGAAAAGATTTTAATTCTCTCTATTTTTTATGATTCGCCAAAACTTCTCCTTACCTCATTCTACTCATCCGAGCGCATTTTTAGCCTGAAGAGGACTGCCTGGAAAAAAGGAGAGAAATCGGATTTAACAACATTAGAGAACGAGCTAATGGTTAAATAATGTATAATATATCATGCCAGGAATATTATAATCTCAATAACGACGATAAACATTTAGTTATATTATTTAAATCTCAAATAAAATAAAATTATGTTTTAGCAAGGGCACCATAAAATTTATTGTCAATTTTTAACTGTAAAGATGGACATATCTGCAGCATAATTTTGTGAATCTTTGTTAAGATTCTTCCGATTGCAACTGCACATTCTACATGTGAAATCATTCCTAAATATACCTCTGCCATTCATTATAAGAAATATTTTTTAAAGGTTTATAAAATTTTAAAATTCTATCGATGGCCGATATTAGGAACATATCGCAACCAACATTGTGTAGACTCGCTTCTGTAAATACACTCTGTTTTTTCCAAATTCACTGAGGCATTATCAGATCAGAAAGCTGACATGCAATTTATTGATCATCTCGAATCTGATATTATATGGTTAGCTATGTCTTTGGATTTTTCACTATTTGAGGGGAAAAAATTTAATAATTTTATTGAAATGACCTTAATTTTGTTGAAATAGCGGAAGATCAAGGATAATCCCTTTAGATGCATCTGTTAGAATTGCATATATATGCCCATCTTTCAAATCGTCAAAAATTGACCTCCTGGATTTAGGTCTTAAAACATTAATGATAGCCTTGCTCATTTGTTCTACAAGTATAATTTTCATTTATATTAGAGTCGTTAAATATTATGGGGAAAAGATTCTATCAACATTGTGATGATAAGTATCTCTGTGAATGTTGCACTACAAGATAAGTACAATTGCCGCAACTGTAGTTGCAGCTGTATTATATCCTATTCTTAATATGTATTTAAACGTGATACGTGATAATTAAGCGTCTATCCCTATAATGTTATATACACACACGGTAGATTTCCAATTGCGGTCGTTTTGAGGGACATTCGCATAAAATATATTTTTAATTGTAAAATTAAAATCGTTTTTTATATTTAAAAAAAATCGTTGGTTTTTTTATAAATTAATATAATTTAATAAATCAAGATTTTATTGTATTTTGAAAAATAGTTACCGACTTTGTATTTATATAACTAATTATAAAAAATAATAGGCGGATAATTAAATCAATTCAAAATCCCGGCCGAAGGCCGCCCGCAAAAAAATTTTTTTTAGCAATTTTTATATTTCTACCGCAATTTTCATGTTTCTCCCACATCTCCCTCAATTTGAAAATTTTGACCTGGCAACCCTGAGTATGAACCAAAAGTTATTAGAATTTCAAAAATTATCAAATTTAGATTGAACAAAGAATCTAAAGAAAGCAATTATAATAAAAAAATTAAATGACTTTTTTCCTTATTTCAAAATATGAGGATAAAGATAAAAGGCTAACTCGATATTTTATACAAAAGAAAATTAAGCTTGGAAACTTTTCCGACAGATGAAATAACTTGCGGCAACTTTGGAAAATGTTATATCAAAATGAGATGGATTGGTTATGGTAAAATCAATTAGGATAGCTAATTATTTTCATCAAGCCGCGAATAGGTTGAGCTATTAATAAAAAAAATTAGAAAATAATTTTTAAAAAATCTAACCAAAAAAAATGATGTATTTTAATTTTATTATTCATGACATGACATGAAGCCACCCAAGCTCATTTACATTGTTATCAAATCAAATGAGAATATAGTATATTAAAAAAATTTAACCAAATTCCAATATTTAAATAATTAATAACCTTAAGGAATTTTAAAGCTATATAACAAAATTAATACAACCAATTTTTTTCCAAATTTTTATAGCAAGGTCAATATCGTAACTTGAACTGCAAACTCATTAGAGGAGCATCATTGAAATTAGAGGGGGGATAGTTAGTTATGAAATAATTATCATTATTTGAAAAATTGGAAAGGGATGAAAGGTATTTTTTTTTAAAATTATTTATATTTGGCAGGAGGTTAAAAGTTTTGAGAGGGTTGATATCATTTATTTAAAAAATAATTTTTTTTTATTGAATATGTGAAGGAAAAAGTAGAGTATTGTCATAACATATCGTCTAAACCAATAGGTTTGTTTGTTAAATATATAACTAAAGTGTAAATTTTTAAAAGAATCACTGATTTGAACAAAGACTGGTTAAAAATAACCATGGGAAAAAAATCTGACAAAAACACCCCGATATAAATTTATATGCTTTAATAAATAAAAGGAAAATGTAATCCTCGTTTTAAACTTTGCCCTTTAGTGTAATACTTGAGTATTATTTTAATAGTACTTTTCTAATAATGTTGCTCATCAAAAATGATCATATTTGTAAGGGGAAACAACTATATGACTCAAGGGCTAGGAATATGAATTTTAAAATAATTTTATAATGCATGACGAAAGGTAGTTATTTTTGAAATATTAATCGTGGGATTGATGTGGTAGATAAAGAATGTGTCACACCACACACATATAAAAGAATTTGTAAATACCCTCATAAAATCTATATCTTGATGAATGAGTCTTATGTAACCAGCTAAATTTTATACCAAAGTATCCTATATTTTTGTCACAAAAAAATAATGAAAATATAAAAATTTTGAGACTATTATATAAAAACAAGCAAAATTTTTATTATTGTAGATAAGAATTTAAAAAATTAAACATTCAATGTTATATTAATAGCGATTCCTTTAAGATAATCTAATCTTGATCGATTTTCGAAGTCAGAAACAATTGTTACTATTCTCGCATGTAGATTTCGATATTTTTTTCTCGGGGTAGAGGGTGTTTCACCAGAATTATATTGAGCAATTTTTAACTCTGTCAACCCTTGTTGTTTTTTTAAGCCTAGGAAAAATTATATAGTTTATTAGTAAATCTTTATACTTTTTAAATCATTTTAAAATAATAGATATATAGATAACTTGATATAAATTTCCACATGTTTGGATGGTAACTTGTTAGGAGGGAACTGAAGCATCTATGCCACCCTTCAACCGCGTTGTTGGTTTTCGCTTCCCCGTTCAGTGTTGATTGGTAACAATTCCAGAGTTCAATATTAAACAAAGCAGGTAATCTGCCTCTTCCAAACGTTTTACCAATATAAGCTTTTTCAAAAGTTTCAATTAGAGGCTGAAGTAACAATTGATTATTAGAATAAAATTCGGAGTTTATTAGTAATTCAAATGTTTCAACTACATTTAAGGGTGGCACAAACGCCAAACAAACCATCATTCTAAGTTGTATATTAAATTCTACATCTGTTTTATATTTATGCGATATTTCTGGATATTTTTGAATGTTTCGCCAAAAGGATTGGCCAAAATGGAAATAGCAACATTTGTGTTGCGAATTGGGAAACACTTCATTGAAAGCTTTTACACTGGCCATTTCAAAATCCGTCATAATTTTTTTTGGAGTTGATATTAAGTTGTTACCTATAATAGTAAATATTATTTTATAAGTTTCATAATCCTTTCTATTGGTCAATATATATATGAGAGGTAAAACATTATTATTTCTAATCCCATGAATTGTATAAATTTGCATAAATAAAGGTGGCGACGATTTAAATGTACCATCAGAAAACCAATGTTCGCATGAAGCTAAGAAGTCCAAATTTTTTTTTGTTCCAAATATGATAACACGGTCGGGAACCTGACACACATGATAAATAAATAAGCAATTATAATAAAGTGTTTCTTATCGGGCAGCTTATCGCAACAAAAATGAAGGATTTAGTTATATTTGTTCAAAAAATTTATAGAAAATCTTATTGGACCATCATCATGAAGTATGAAATCCTCATATTTATCTGTAATTGAATATTCATGCGGAATTACCAGCTCAATAAGGCTGCTAGGATTCGGAGGTGCAAAACTGTTTGAACTCCGCGTTCGGTGAATTATACGTTTCATAAGATTCGGTGATGGTAGTGCCATTGATATAGAATCACTTAATTGAGATACTTGTTTCGCCACAATAAAGTTTGGAGTTTCCATAGTATTATTCAAAGCTTCATTCTTAATTGAATTGATTATTTTCTTGGTTTCCATTTCGATTGGATTTTCTGGATGATTGTGTATTTCATTATTATCTTTTATCTTACCATTTTTTTTTGTGAGTCGTACGGGACATTTAAAAATATCCTGATTGATACATCTATAATAATTAGTATCTGAGACTACTTTATCCAGGCGGAACAAATAATTTTTAAATTAAGATCTCCTTATTTTTGCTTGATAACATATTTTATAAGACTCCGAAATAAAGAGGAAAGAATGGCGAAAATATTTATAATTTATAACCAAAGGAATGGCACCAGCCAGACGGGAAAATTTTTTTTTTTAAATTTCGGCAATACTTTTTTTTTAAAATAGTTATAATTTATCAAATATGTCATTAATTATTTGTTAATTTTTAGTGTAGCTATTTTTTTTATTATATTTTAAAATTATTTAAGATTCAATAAGAACCCATATCAAAATATTATATTTAAATTAATTGAAATTAATGCCGAGTTATTATACTAAAAATTTTATCACGCCCCCCCCCCCCTTCAAAGAAACAGAAAAGATAAAAAGATATCTATAAAGATTGAAAATAATAAAATTAATAAATATTTTAAATTGGGGAAATCCCTTATTTCACTTAGATGTAATTTATTTTTGAATTGCCATTCAAAATTGATATTCTAAACAGTAATGTTGTAGACTTTATTCATCTACACTGTTTAAGAATAGTGACTGCCAAAACCACGGTTGTGCATTTGACCGATCAAATATAGTTAAAATCAAATAAATATTATTTTATATTGAATATCATCATTTTCTTTAATATTTTATAATCAATTTTCTTTTTGTCTAAATCTTCAATCGATTTCTGTTTTAGTAAGATTATTGACACAAATAGACCAATTTCTTTCTGAAGAAGAAGTAGATCTAGAAATTGTTAGTAATGTCACTTCTCTTAATGGCCATGGTGGTCAAAGCTAATTCCACTGCTTGAGTTTGAAATCTGATTGTTTCTTATGGAAGTTACTGCTATCCCCATGATTTTCTATTAAACACGCCGCTTTTATTTCTGAAATTTATGATATAGCTTGAAATATTTTGATCACCACCTTGTATGCCTAATTCTTTTATTATATTACATACTTCATTAAATTCACTATGATTAAAATGCTCTCCTTAATATTAGGAACTCAATAAGCATTGTGATCACATTTCACATGTATTTATATCGTTTTTTCTTTTTCAAACATATTTTTATATTCAGATCTTATAGAATATATGACCACTTGACCAGGTCAAATATTCTCCCGTTCAATTGACCCGTCAAAATCTAGTCATTTGACTGGTCATTTGACTGACTTGCTAACCCTGGCCAAAATTGATTGATAAATTTATAAATATTAAGTCATCAGACAATAAATAGGAATGCTACCCAGATATCAATTTCGCCAATAAATATCAAGATTTAACTAATAAACTCAATGATTAATATATTGATAAAGCTGAGTTCCTTGTGCGCGATTATTATAAAATAAGAACTTCGAAGGAAAGGATAGGATAGCGAAAAAAGTGTATTTCAATAACAAATTTCATAAACCAGTCTAAGTTAATTAATCATTGTAAAATTTTTTAAGGTTATAAGAAAATTACAAACTATGTGAATTAATAAAATATTATTCAAATAATATAATTATAAAAAAATGATTCAAAATAAATTAGTCATTATTAGCAATTACCGCGATATTAAATTCTCTATAATATCTTCGCGATATATGTTTCGCGAAATAATTGTCGCTACATTGTCTTCGCGATTTGGGTTTCGCGATAATAATTTCGCTATAAAATTTTCGCGATTAAAGTTTCGCGTTAAAGGTTTCGCTATAAAATTTTCGCGATTATTGATTCGCGATAAAAGTTTCGCGGTAATGTATTCGCTTAAAATGTTTCGCGATAAAAGTTTCGCTATAAAATTTTCGCGATTATTGATTCGCGATAAAAGTTTCGCGGTAATGTATTCGCATTAAAGGTTTCGCGATAAAAGTTTCGCTATAAAAAATTCGCGATATTTGTTTCGCTATATTGTATTCGCGGTAATGTATTCGCTATTAAGGTTTCGCGATAAAGGTTTCGCTATAAAAAATTCGCGATATTGCATTCGCGGAATAGTATTCGCTATTATGGATTCGCGATAAGTTTCGCTATAAAATCCATTCGCGATAAACGACATTCGCGATAAAAGTTTCGCGAAAAAGTGTTTCGCGATAAAAGTTTCGCTGAATTGACATGGAACCCCCTCCCACTATTATTAAAATGTTTTACATTTTTTAGATCTCTACTTTGCTACTATAGCGAGATGACTTATTAGCTCGATAATATATAACAGCTGCAGTAAAAATATTAGGCATATATTCGATTATATTTTACAAAATTAATTGTTTAAAACGATCTCTCTTTCTGAGAAATAATTTTAACCTGTCCGTTATCGTCTGTCTACCAATAACAATCTGGATTTGGAGAGTACAAAAACATGTATTCTAGGTGTAGATCAATTAAAATTTTATTCTATATCACAGATAGATTTACAAAATATTAAGATGTTGCAACCCATTTAATCTACAGAGACATGCTTATTATCGCGAGAATCTAAGAAAGATTCTACCCTGGATGACCCAAAAAAATTTACCATTCAATTTAGATATGTTAATATGCTCTTCATGGCGACAAAAATTATCAAACATTCCTTATACTTCAAATGACAATGTAGATATTGATTCTCTCCTTCATATAATTAATCAAGAGGCTATTGATAACATTAATATATCCCCAGAATCAAATGGGGAATCTCTCATTAAAAGAAAACGCTTATGTGAAAAGAAATATTCGAAGAAAAAAATATCTAGAGTTAAAAAAAGTTTTAACGACTGAAATTATACCATTATCTTTCTTCATCAAATGATTAAAAATTCGATGAAATTGTAGATACCTTAAAAATAAAATTATATGAAAGATATTTATTAATAGAAATTTGTTACATTATTAAGTGTAATGGGCATATGCCTACTCTGCTTTTCGGTTAATTAGTATATTTAATAGAAAATCAAAATTTTTTAATATAAAAAGTGAAAATATCTGGTTATTGATAAGTTAGCAGCAAAATTTTAACCATAATCCGTAATTTCATAAAGCGCCATCTACTTTTTTTGTCAATTTTTGGAGTCGGTAGCGTCGCCAAGGTTTTGATATTATATATATATTTAGCAAAGGTGTCTAAATAAAAAACAATAAAAAAAATTCGAAAACAAACTCACTATTTTGCTTAAAAATGCAGGTAAAGCAATTTAAGCAAACCGGATGTTAAAAGCCTATAATCGCGCCAATATTTATTATTCTTTGTTAGCCCATTAGAGAAAAAATTTTACAGATTCCAAAGTGGCTCTTTTTTGTACCTTTGAGCCCCTATATCTAGAGAACCAGGTGTGCTAGCGAGCTAAAATAAACGGCTTTCTCACTCTTTTACCTATCTAAATAATTCCAGAAATTTTTAACAATTTTAAAAGGGAAATTAATATGCAATAAGTATTTATTACTCTCAAAGTGATTGTATAATAAGACAAAACTTTGAATTCGATAAGGTCAAAAAATAGAGCCCGCATGAGAAGTGTTTAACGAATAGACTACTTGGGGAAATCCTAGTACAAATTATTTTATCTTTGAGAAGTGTTCCGTTTGATAATTTTTTTTATAATTTAAATCTTTTAAGATATAACTAATATTTATTTATAGATTTTTAGTATAAATTTCGGAGATGATTAGAAACTGAAATATAGTTTCTAAGGAAGGGGTTTTATCAATTTAAAATTATAAAGAGATTAAAAAGGGAAGTCTTACATATATTTTCTATTGATTGGGGGTGGGGAGTCCCTAACTCCAGCTTCGTCTTATTAATATAAAAACAATTATAAAAGATACGTAATTTTACTCTATAATATTTTTCACATATAGTGGGAGGTTAGCCCTGATCCGAACCGTTATTTATAACGGTTCAGTTTGGTTATGGTTCAATATGTATAAAATTATAATGGTTACGTATTGGTTACGGTCTTTAAGAAAAAATTTATAAAGGTTCAGTTCAGCTAATTATAAAGGTTCATGTTCATCACTGTTATAAATTTTTTTTTTATTGAAACTACACCATTTTCTAATTTATTTTTATTATAAGCATCTATGAATTATATATATAAAAAAATATATAAGATTCAAAATAACTCATCTTTTAATATATTATTTGAAAGCATAAGTAATATATTTTTTAATATAAATAGATTCCTTTTTGTTCGTTGTGACGATAACATAAATTTTAGCCCCGAAAAGCCCTTTCTACAGAAACTTGTGTTGCGGGAACCGCTAGTATTATAAGAGCAAGT